ACCACTGGTCCTATAGGGCTCATCCGTCCTGGATTCCCTGTATTTTCAGTTCCTATCTGTACCAGTGTACCTCCTCTGGTCTAGCCAGTCTTGCTGTTTTTATAGTTTATTGGTAAGTGTGTAGTTAAGAGGCTGGTGAGGTGAAACTTTCTTTAATTGCAGTGAAAGATTACTATTAAGAGTGTACCAAATGTCAACATTTTTTAAATGGCATTGAATTCCTCTAGTTTAATCTGATAAGCATTTTGATTTTCCATCAGGGGTTGATCTAAAAATATTTTCTGGTACAGTCTTTATTTTGATGCAGTTTCTCCACCCTTTTTGAGCATTCATTCAGTGAACACTGTCATTTAATTGCCTGTTATTATGATGTGACTTACTAGCACAAGGTGTTTCAGTATTTCATGTTAATTATTTGATTTGTAGTGAGCTCAACCAACTGTCTATGACTGATCACTTATCATATTTCCTGTTCCCCCCCCCCCATTGTATCACAAGATCTATACCTACATAATAGTCTGAACCATATGGAAATACCATTTTTGTATGTCAGCCTGACCATATATTAGTAGTTTCATTCAGTTATCCTGTTTCCTTTAGGAGCCTAATGCTTTCCAAGTTGAATAACCCTTTTTCCTAAATTCAAAAATGCTGTAATTGTTGTAAAATTTTGAAAATTAAAAAAATCATAGAACAGGGGATATAAATGTTCAATACCAAGCAAACATCTTACTACCAATTTTGATGCATTTAAAAAGCAAAATACATATATTCAAATAGAAAGTTGTAGAGTCTTATTGATAAAATTGTTGAAAGCCTAAATGAATGGTAAGTGCTAAGTAAGTACTCGCTATTATTACTGTAATGTTTTTATCCTCTCAGTATTTTATCAACTATACTTGCCATGCTATTAAATGTTTTCAGAAATGTGATTTAAAGGCTTTGACATTTTGTTATAGAAATATACCATAATTTAGTGAATCAATCTTTTGTTAACTATTTTAGGTTATTTTATTTTCTGCCTTTATATCAAAAATGCTGTGATGAATTCCTGTCTTTGTCTATGGCTCTGTTTCTTTAAATATACTTCTGAAGTTGAAGTAACTAGGTCAAATAATAAAAATACTGTTAAGTATCTGGATATGTGGACCAAGTGCCCTCCAGGAATGTTGGCTGACATACCCTCCAGCCAATTATAAGGTACCACTTCTTACAATAAATAGGTCTGTTGTTATCAAAAGGTGAACTGGATAATTTAGCAGTCATAAATAGTATGTTAGTTTTCATTTGAACATTTTAGATAGTTGTTAATTAACTATATATATATATGTCTTTCTCCTTTTGTATTTTGTTTTAATATCCTCTTTATATTTTTATTGGGATTTAATTTTTTATTGTAAGATCTTTCCTATTTCGTAAAACTCTTAATATTTACTTAAAATATATAGAAAAAGAACTTGCTGGAAATTTTAAGGAAGAAAATGTACAGGTATAGCCATAGAGAAAAGTAAATACATTCACCAATTTTTTTTACGTGAGGAATATAGGATAATTTTAATTTTCCTTATATTTATGTTTCATTCCAGTTATTCTACAAAAGGAAAAATAAAACAAGTAAAATTCTGGCTCCTATTAAGGATGAATGAAGAACCAAACTTTCTAACCTAGCTTTCTAGTACCATATTTCCTGCCTTGTCTGGCCCAGCATCTTGGTCAATAGTAAAAAAGTGTGGCTGTAAAAGTGAACTAATATTTTTCTTTTACCTTTGGTGTGTCTAGCCTGTGATGGGATGGGAGAAGAAGAGAACCCGTATGTGTTGCAACTTAAGGATGTCTACAACAGCTGTGACACCACTGGAACTGGCTACCTGGACCAACTGGAACTGACTCAACTCTGCCATAAACTGCATCTGGACAAGCAGCTGCCCATCCTTCTGCAAACACTTTTTGGAAGTGACCACTTTGCCAGGGTGGGTGTTTAATTCATTATAAAAAAGAAAAGCACTGAGGACTATAATTGACTTATAGTGAGCTTTTGATACATAAAACACATTTGTAAAAGAAAAGTTATAAAGAAAAAGAGTAGCATTTTTTCTTTATTGGGCATCTTATGGTGTAGAAAGTCCTTAAAGATTTCTTTATTTAGTATAGTAACTTGCAGAGATTTTTGTTTTGATTTTGCAGGGGAAAAAATGTTCTAATGATTTTTCTGGGGGTAAGGGTGATTGTTATAAGGTAGTAGTTGTACGACTATAAGTAAGTGTCCAGCTACTAAAATTATTAAACTATTATTCAAATTTACACACCAACCACTGAAACCCCCAAAATCAAATTCACTGCCATCGAGTCGATTCCAACTCATAGATACCCTATAGGATAAAGTAATCTACTCGTGTGTTTCCAAGGCTGTCTATCTTTATGGGAGTAGAAAGCCTCATCTTCTTCACAAGGAGTGGCTAATGATTTCAAACTGCTGACCTTACAGTTAATAGCTCAATAGGTAACTCACTACATCATCAGGGATCCACCACTAAAATTAGTAATAAATTAAATTTAATAATTCTAGAAATTTCTTTCATCTGAAATTGATCACAAATGCAGTTGAGATGCATGGATAATTACTGGTGATCTGCATATGAAAGTTGAAAACAATGAGAAGGAGCAGTTGGAAAATGTGAACTTGGTTGAAAGAAATGAAGCTGGTTATTGCATAATAGAATTTTGTAAGATTTCTTCCTTGCAAACACCTTTTTGCAACAGCATGAGTGGTGATTATACACATGGACTTGACTACATGGAATACACAGGAATCACAGAATACCTGAAGGAATCAGAGCGCCTGAAGAATAGATTTGACACATTGAACACTAATGACAAAAAATTTGATGAGTTTTGGTATGACATCAACAATAGCATATATGAAAAGCAAAAAGTCACCAAAAAGACATGAAAGAAAAGATCAAAGTGGATGTCATAAGGTCTCAGCAGTCCTTGAGCCCCAGCAAGGAAGGTCTCGGGCGGCCATGCACTTCTGGACCAATGGAAGAACCCCTCCAAACAGCTTTCTGTTTCGTAAAGAATATCCCATCCTTCCCATGGTTTGAGAATGTTGTTTCCCCCCACTTCTATCATCTTTTTCAAACTACGTTTTCTTTTTCCTCTCCGTTTCTCTTTATCCTCTTTTTTTTTTCTTTCCTTATCATTCTACCTAAGTCTTTTTATGTTTTGTGGTCTCAATAATTTAATTTTGGCACCCCTTGATAGAATCAACTGCCTACATCCAGCAGCTCAACCTAAAAACTGTACCAAGATGCCATGGAAACAGCAGCAAATCTTGGTCCTTACAATAAAACAAGAAAATCCGTCACAGACAAGTGAATAATACCCATATCTAAAAGAGGTTTGTTATTGTTGTTGTTTTATGAAGAAAAGCTCCTGAACTACCAGCAAAATAATTCAGATATTTTCAATAGATAAAGAATTTAAGAGAACAATGGGAAAAACTAGAAAAACTAGAAATCTTACACCAAATATAATGTATAAGATGAATAATATAACAGAATTACACAACACTGTAAAAGACTAAAGCTATTGAGGAAGTAGCAGAATTAGTGAGCTTAAAGACAAATCTCTCAATTCAACATATGAGAGGAACAATCAACAAAAAGAGCAAAGGAGTCAGAAAAAGCTTAAAAATTATGTAGGAAACTATCAAGGTGAGGGGGAGGGGGAAATTCACAAAGAAAATAGTACAACAGATTCTGGGGAAATCTTTCTCAGCAGCATAAAGGAAGAGAAATAACTGTCCAGGAAGCTGAGAGAAGCCCACAGGAGAGACCCTGAAAGAAAATCATCATGACATATCCAGTTAAATGTGCCAATATCAAGGATGAGGAAAGAGCAGCTAGGGAAAACAGAAAAGTCACTTCCAAAGGAAAACTAAAATGTATAAGCTGTTTTCCAGCAGAAATCATGCAGGCAAGAAAACAATGGAATGGCATGTATAAAAACAAAGAAAGAAAAACCTGCCAAGCAAGAATCTAATATCTAGCAAAATTATCCCTTAGATATAAGGGACAAATAAGGTATCTCTACACAAGAAGAAATTAAAGCAATGTATAAAAACAAGACCAGCATTATAAAAAATACTAAAAGTATTGTTTTGGACAAATGATCTACAACCACAGACAAACATACAAGATAGCATCATCTAAAAATCAACACACTTAAAGCAGTTCTCAAAACATCACAGAAATAAAAGAATGAGCCACAAAGAAAACACCACACACACACACACACAACAAAAACACTTGTCAAAATTACAGCAACAAACACACATATCAATAACATTCTTGAATGTTAAGGGACTATCAGTTAAGACACAGAGTAGCAGACTGGATAACAAAAGACTCATCAATGTACTGCTTACAAGAAACAGTTTAAACACAAAGACAAAAAATCAAAAGATAGGGAAAAGTTGATCAAGCTAATGGCAGTCAAAAAACAAAAAGGAGTAACAGGACTTATCTCTGATAAAACAGACTTCAGGAAAAATCTGCCATTAGAGACAAGGGCCCTGCATAATGACTACAGGGACAATAGAGTTAGAAGACAGCCATAATAAACACCTACACACCCAGAAGAAGACCCTTGAAATAAGTTACTCAAACTCTGACAGAGCTGAAGAGGGAAATAGATAACAGTAATAGTAGGCGTCTTCAAGATAATGCTTTTGAGGAAGGACAGATCATCAGGAAAAAAAGTTCGAGTGACAGAATCCCCAAACAATGTAATTAACCTACTTGACATATACAGAGCACTCTCCCTAACAATAACAAAGTATACATTCTTTTACAATGGACATGGAATAGGAAAAGCAAGGGCAAATTTACAAATACATGAAAACTGAACAAATTTTATAAGCTACCGGGTATTTGATGAAATAAGAAATAAACTTAAAAATTCCTTGAAACAAGCGAGAACAAAAGTATAGCATGCCAAAACCTTTGAAACATAGCAAAAATCAATACTCAGAGGGCAATTTATTGTAGTAAACACACATGGCAAAAGGAAGTAGTATCAAAATCAATACCTTAATCCAGCATCTTCAACAGGTAGAGCAAGAACAAAATAAACCTTCAATAACCAGGAGAAAGAAATCATAAAGATTAGACCGGAAATAAATGAATCTGAAAAATAATGGGGGAGGATGAATCCACAAGACAAGAAGTTGGTGATTTGAAAGGATTAAAAATTGACGAGTCACTGGAAAGCACAGTAAAGGAAAACAAAGAGAAGCTACAGATATCAATAATTGGAGATGAAAAGGATGACATCACAACAGACCCAAATGAAAATTTAAAAATAACACATTACTACAAAATGACCATAGTACAACTTTGAAAACCTAGAGGAAATGGACATATTTCCAAAAATGCACTACCTAACCAAATTAACACAGACTGAGGTAGACAACCTCAACAAACCCATAGCAAAAGAAGAACTATAGGTGGTCTGAGAAGGGCCGTGAGGCAGCAGAGATGGAAATGTGCTGTGGCAAGAATGGAACTGTACTCCCATTTGCTCAGAGGAGTTATGTCAACTATTTTGTTTTTCACATACTTGAGGTTAACCTCTGATTGTGGACAGGAACTCTGCGATTGTGGGTGGGCTTGGGCAAGATGGCACACCAGGAAGAGACACTACCCAAATCCATTAACAACAAAGATGGGAGAGAACTGGTGAAACAGAGGCAGGTGATAAACTCAGGAGCCCGAACTTTGGAGGGAAGGGCAGGTAGTGGGTAGAATAGACAGCAGGAGATGAAAGCAGTGAAGAAAGAGACAGATGTGTGAATTGTTATAGTTTCTCCATCTTGATTTTCACAAGCTGTTTTTCGATTCAGCCGTGGCTGAGTACACAGGTGCACTCTCACAATTGGCTAGTACCAGGCAAACCCACCCTCACCTGCTGCATGAAAAGGGAACTGCACACAAACACATTCCCTATCACACCCGCCAGTACACCAGTTGCGAGTGCCTAAGAACACATCAACATAACAATCATCGTTTAAATTCTTTTTTTGTTTTAATTAATCATTTTATTGGAAGGCTCTTACAAATCTTAGAACAATCCATCATTCAATAGTATTAAGCATGCTTGTACATATGTTGGCATCTACACTTCTAAAACGATTTCTTTCTACTTGAGCCCTTGGTATCAGCTCCTCTTTTTCCCCCCTGCCTCCCCCACCTTCCTACCCTTCTGAATCCTTGATCAATTATATATTATTATTTCATGTCTTACCCTGTCTGTTAGTGCCTCCAAGACAAGGAACCACTTCAGATCGCATGGAACAAGACAAAGTGGCTTAAACAAGTAACTTAAGTAGGGAATCAAAAACTCCTTATGGAGCAATACTTGATGCATAGAAACTACTTGATAAGGAATTCTGAAGAATGTTACTTAGACACATTATGGAATTTGAAGAAGTGGTTAATAGATTCCTAGGAAAAAAAGAGAAGTTAACATGAAAATAACAACAACAAAACAGTAAAAACCCAAAAGCTAAATATTGTCATTTTAGAAAAGGATGATGAAATGAAAAAGGAGTAGAATTGGGTCACTGGAAGTCTGATTTAGAGCACGTGAAAGGAAATTTCTCATTATGATACTGGTAGATGAGCAATTAACCAGAAGTGAAAAGGTATCTGAAAAAAGTGGGTTATGAGGGATACCACCAAGAGGAATAACAGACAAATAAAGCATAGAGAATATGGTCCAAGAGTTCTTGGATGAAAACTTCCCTAATATCATAAAAGACGAGAAGATAGGCATTCAGGAAGCAGTATGATCCTTAAGTAAGATAAACCCCCAAAGAAAATCATCACAATATATCATATTCAGACTTTCCACACCCAAAGACACGGAATGAATCATACCAGAAGCTTGTAATAAATGAAAAGTTACT